ACATTGATATGGAGTGGTGCAACCAGTCGAGGTCCATCAAATATTTTTTCAAGTACGTGAACAAGGGGAACGATCGTGTTACTGCCACGTTCTATGAGTCGAATGGAGATGAGTCCTCTAGCAGGCCAGTTGACGAGGTGAAGATGTACTATGATTGTCGATACGTTTCATCTTGTGAGGCTGCGTGGCGGTTGTTGGAGTTTGAGATTCAATACAAGCACCCATCAGTGGAGCGCTTGAATTTTCACCTCGAGAACGATCATCCGTGCTACTATCCCGATGAAGCCCCGTTCGATGAAGTGGTTGAGAAAAATAAAAATACCGGCAACAGATTTTTATCTTGGATGGAAGCTAACAAGAAGTATCCCGAAGTCAGGAATCTGACATACATTGAGGCTCCCACCAAATTTACGTGGCACCCGGAAACCAACAGTTGGGAGCCTAGGAAAGAAAGTGATCGTATCGCGCGTTTGTACTTCGTCCCCCCTGGTGCTGGTGACATATATTACTTGCGGTGTCTTATCAACGTTGTTTGAGGTGCAACGTGCCATCGTGACTATATGAAGTTGGATGGAGTACAACATGATTCATATCGTGACGCGTGTTTTTCCTCGGTCTGGTGGAGGACGACAAAGAGTACATTGAAGGGATTATCGATGCAAGCCAGTGGTCGAGTGCCAATTCGTTGAGAAATCTTTTTGCTACTTTGTTGTCTGCTTATACTCTCGGTCGACCGGAGTTCGTGTGGGAATCATGCTGGCCTTACCTGTCGGATGATATATTATATAATCATCGGAGGGTTTTACCGCACCCAGGTAAATGAATCAATTACTGTCACATACTTATTTTTTTTATGTTTTTCTTATGATCTTTATATTTATAATATTTCTATATTGTTGTGACAGAATTTGTTTTGAGTGTTGATGAAGTAAAAAATCTGGCATTGGCGGAGGTTGAAAAAATTCTGCGCAGACGTGGTACGAGTCTATGCGAATATGGTACAATGCCTTTTCCTAATCTCGATCATAATGAGGCATCAACGAACAGACTTGTGATGGACGAGTTGAATTACGATCGTCATGCACTCGCTATTGAGAATCTGGAGTTGATTGCCAATATGACAGATGAATAGCGGAATGTTTATGACTCGATAATGGACTCTGTTTATCGTACCTACGACCGCATGTTTTTTGTTTATGGTTACGGCGACACTGGAAAAACGTATGTCTGGAGGGCGTTGTCTTATGCTTTGAGATCCAAAGGTGAAATTGTGTTGAACGTTGCATCGAACGGTATTGCATCACTTTTGCTTCCCGGCGGCCGCACTGCGCATTCACGATTCAGAATTCCAATAAACCCAATAGAGGGCTCTACATGCGATATTAGCCAGCAGAGTCCTTTGGCCGAACTGATCATACGATGTCGGTTGATCATTAGGGATGAAGCCCCGATGATGAACAAATATTGCTTCCAGGCAGTTGACAACACCTTGCGAGCCTTAATGGAAGCAGTTGATCCATCGAGGAAAAATCTCCCATTTGGCGGCAAGTGTGTTGTGTTAGGTGGCGTTTCAGACAGATACTACCCGTTGTTCCTAAAGGCAGTCAAAGCGACATATTTAATGCGGCCATCAATTCACCAAGTTGTGGCGCTATTGTATCGTTCTGAGACTGACTCGGAATATGAGGCTTCGAAGCCTTGGTGGGGGTGATGAGTACAATGAGTTGAGGAACTTCTCTGAGTGGCTTGCAAACATCGGCGACGGTACAGTCGGTGGATCGAACGACGGTTGTGCCGATATCGACATACCCGACGATTTTCTTCTACACTCACAAGGGGATCCTATTGGTACTATTGTTGAGAGTACCTACCCGATGTTTAGGAGTGCAGATGACGATCTTAGCTATCTGAAGGACAGAGCCATACTCGCTCCCACACTTGATGTGGTTGAGTCCATTAATGAGTACATGAGCTCACTGAACTCATCCGAGGGAAGGACTTACTTGAGTTCGGACACCCCGTGCAAGTCAGATGTTGGATATGATTCTCTTCAGGATCTTCACACTCCTGAGTTTCTCAATGGGATCAAGTGCTCTGGCCTTCCGAATCATAAACTTCACCTTAAGGTCGACACTCCAGTCATGCTTCTCAGAAACATTGATCACTCAATGGGGTTGTGCAACGGTACTGTTAATCGAAATTCAATTTGTCATCTTTATTTCCTTTTATCTTTATACAAATTTAATTGATATGATTTTGTTTTTCGAGTTTTGATGTCAACAGGTACACGGTTGGTTATCACTAAGCTTAGCAGCCATGTCCTCGAATGTAGGATATTAACCGGTGCAAGAGCTGGTGACAAAGTTCTTGTTCCTAGGCTCACAATCATACCATCCGATTTGAGGGTACCGTTCAAATTTCAACGTAGGCAATTTCCGCTCATGGTTTCATATGCTATGACTATCAACAAGAGTCAAGGTCAGTCACTATCACACGTCGGCTTACTATTGAAGAACCCTGTATTCAGTCATGGACAGTTGTATGTGGCACTATCTAGAGTCACGAATTGGAGGAGACTGAAGATAATGATCTGTGGTGATGAAGATTTTGACAATAGAAAAACCACTAACATTATATATAAAGAAGTGTTTAATAATATTTAGAATTAATTTTGTTTGCTTAACTTTTTCTCAATGATTATATAGATTCCCGTGCAAATGCACGGGTCAAAAACTAGTTAACGTGCCAAAAATTCGACCCAAACCATTGAAATTCCAAAACAACCCATTTTTTAGCCCGTCGAGAGAGAGAGAGAGAGAGAGAGACTGTATGTGCTGACTACAGATTGTGCTCTGTTATTATCAATACAGCGTGAATTTGTACGGCGACCAACAATCGCAATCGAGAACTTTGGAGTAAGAACAACAAAACACGGAGTGTTAGATGTGAATCGATAATTGAGGCATGTTGAAGATTTGGAAATGGTACCAGAATTGTTTGGCCACGCAGCCGGTTAAGACGCAGGTTATTAGCTCCGCTTTCATTT